AGCCAAGGAATATACACAGCCTCTGAAAAGGAAAGAAATCATATTCTTTTCTAGAGTTACCTAAAAGAATGCAACCTTGCCATTACCCTGATTTTAGTTCAATAAGACTTCTGTGTTAGACTTCTGGCCCAGAGAACTGTAATATAATAAATTTTGTTGTTTTAAAAATACTAAATTTTTGATAGTTTATATCAGTAATAGAAAATTACTACAAGTACCATCACAGAAAGCTATTTTATATCATTATTACAATTATCATTGCCCCCATATAAATTAAGTGCCACAAGTGCTTATCTCCCATCATCTTATCTTTGGAGCAGCCTCTCATCACAGCTAATATCATAAGAAAAGGTTCAAACAATTGTGATGTGACTATGTGGAAGGATCCAATACCACTCTGCTTGGCACAATCAACAGATTATTTTATTTTAGAAAGAATACAATTCAACTCCAAAATTATATCCTGAGAGTCTACAATTTAAAACAGGACTCAATAAACTTTTAATGTAAAGAGTCATATCGTAAATATTTTTGGCCTTGCAAGCCATGTAGTCTCTGTCATACATGTTCAACTTTTCTCTTATGGAAAAACCGCAAAGACAATACATTAATGAAGGAACACAATTGTGTTCAAATAAAACAACAACAACAACAAAAACAGCAGGCAATATTTTTGACTCATGGACTATAGTTTCTAATCCCTGACATATGGTAATTAGTATCTTAGCCATGGTTCTATAGAAAAAAGCCTAAGACAGACTTAAGTGTTAATATTTCATGGAAAAGCACAGTCCTAGTATTGCAATATTAAAAGAAAAGCAAACTAAAGCAAAGAAGCAACAGTAAGATAATCCATTATCACTCTATTTCATGAGAAGAAGCAGAAAAGATAGAGGTAGTTACTTAGCAGGTATTTCATCAGTATGGACTTACAGGATGTCTCTGAAAGTTTATATTAAAAAATATGATTCAGAATAGCCAAGTGAAAGGGAGGAAAAGAGGAGGAATTTATTTTTGCCTCTTGTCTAATACCAGTCAATGATTCTCCACAGGAAGTTCACATTCCCCTCACTTCAGAGTCATGTCATCCCTTTTAGCAACTATTAAGGAAGCCAGATCCCAGGACTTATGTTGTGGCACATCTTCCAGAACCAATGAGAGGAGCTGGAGACTCTGGGTATAGCTAGTCCATTTCAGGAAGCAGTACTGTATGAAGTTAATTAACCCTGCAAAATCCTGAGGTAAAGCAAGCAGCCAAGGGTTTGGGGGATGAGAAAAGTAGAGAGAATTTGAAGAGACATACTCATTACTATATTCAATACTGGTATTTCAGTTCAAGAGCTCCCTTTTCTGTGTGACAGACTAATACACAGTTTCTTTATAAATGATATCTGGGGAGAAAGATGGTCCATCTGCTGATTCTATGATATTATTTCACTTCTGTGAAACACTTCTGTGGAACTTTGTTCTTTTTGTAACTTTACCATCAAGCCTCTGAGAGAACCTTTGCCCTCCCAAGTTGAATTTATCCAGAAATGAAAAAAAAAAAAAATTTAATTAGACAATATAATAACATATTTTACCAAATTAAACAATTAAGGAATAGTCAAATCAATACATGTACAAATTCAATACCATTCATAAATTAAAAGAATATTGGAAATAGGTGAAAACATGAATGTCGTAAAATCAATCAAAGAACAGCAACAAATATCTTAATGCTGAAATACTGGAAGCATTTCCTGTGAAGTTAAAAACAAAAGAAAGTTCCCACCAAAGCCATTTATATTCAACACTGCTACAGTCCTAGCTGGGGCAGGGATGAAAAGAAAGAAAAAGGAAAGAAAAGAAGAAACAACTTGATCACATTTGTTATGCTTTTATGCATAGACTATGGCAGAGAATCTAAAGACAACTATTAAAACAAAACATTCAAAATATACTTGAATAAAAAATAGTATTTTATACACTAGTAAGAATCAATTAGTATTAAACTGATTTTAAGAAAAATTAGAGCAATCACTCTATAAGGTACATAGAATTAAACCAGCAAAAGATACCTAAGACTTATGAACAAAAGTTATAGAAAAACAGAAGAAAAACAAAAATAAATATACAAAAGTAAATATATGTTCATGGATAGAACAAACATGCTAAACATAAATTTTCTCTCCATGTTCAAATTTCAAATAAAATCTCTACTGGATATTATATGGAGCTTGATAAACTGATCCTAAAATCCATATACAATATAAAGGGTGAGAATAACGAAGATAACTTGGAAGAAGAAAAGGGAGCCGCTTACCAATTATCAAGACATTTTGTAAGTGATTACAACAAATAAAGTGTATCACTGATACAATAGATAAATCATGCAATAAAAGAGAAAACCCAGATGATCCACCCTCAAGATGGAAATTTGATGTGTGAATGAAGAGTCTTACAAGTCAGTGGAAAATAGATCCAGTAAATGACAAAAGTATATCCCTATATCAAACCAACATAAAATAAATTATATATAAATTTTAAAACTATTTATGAAATGTAAAGGCTTAAAACTGATAAAAAAAAGTAGGGTTGTATTTTTCTCAGGAATGGAAAGATTTACTAGATACTGAAAAAAAGGTATTAATATCAAATGAAAGACAGCTAAAACTGAATACATTAAAATCAGAAACATGGGCTGGGTTGTAGCTCAGTGGTGGAGCACTTGCCTTGCTTGTACGAGGCACTGGGTTCAATCCTTAACACCACATAAAAATAAATAAATTAAATGAAGGCATTGCATCCATCTACAACTAAAAGACAATTTTTTTAAAAAATCAGAAATTTTTACATGATAAAAGATGGAAAAACTGGTCTGTAAGAAATAAAATGAGTTATTCAAGGTTATATGTTAGTAAGTAGAAGTGCCATGATTCAAATAAATTGCTTTTTGATGTCAATGTTCATTTATTTTACATTCCTTTTAATTTGTAATTACACAATTATCATACATTATATTCTTTCATGAAAATTGAATAATACAAGGAAAATAGAAATACCTTTTACCATTTTCCCTAATTCTAATTTCCAATCTATTCCCTAGATTTGTATATATCCTTTCAGGCTTTTATTCTTAGGCATGTGAATATAGAAATATAAGTGCATTGTTTTAGTGGTTTTATACCTAACTGCTCAGCATCTTTTCTCTTAAAAAGGTGTCTTAAGGATCTTTCCATTATATATGTATCAGAATTCATTTATTCAATTTTCTATTAATAGTCCTTTAGACTGCTTTAAATATTTTGTCCCTTAAGGCACATAAACAGTTTAGAGACCTCAAATAGATTTTCTATGTCATAATGAATAAAAAACATATATGTTTTAAAAAGTTGATAATGCTATGTTTCCCATAATGGTATATATACATATTATTTAGTGCCTTTTCCATTACTTTGTATTACTAATGCTTTTAACTTTTAATATTTTGTCAAACTTGATGGGGGAAAATGATACATTGTATTTCCCTAATTGTTAGTGAAGCTATTTCCTCCTTACTTCCAAACACTGCTTTCTACAGGTAATAAATTAAAATATCTTTAATCTTTTTAACTCTTTTCTAGCATATTGACGTTCATATTTCTAAGTATATTTATATTGCTATTTCTTGCCTTATTAGACATTACTATTGATTCCTTACTACAAATGATGAAAATTTAATACAAGTTCTTTATATATTCTGCATGTTAATTATTTGCCTATTATATGGGAAATATTACCTCCTAATTTGCTGTCAATCTCTTATTATGATCATCTTGAAAATTTTCATCCTGAAAATTTTTAGGTTTTATGTCCTGCCTGAGGGTGTCCCTACTCCATATCTACATGCTATAATTTCCTTAAAATACTTTATGCCCTATAATTTTAATGTTTATGTATTTTCTACTCTGAAATTTATTTCTGTGAGCGGCATAAGGTAGAGGTTTACTATTTTTCTTCAAAATGGCTAGTCAATTGGTCAAGATTGATTATTTAATAAGTTAATTATATATTCAAATACCTTCTCTAAAATGTACAAAACTTCCCAAAATACCTGAACCATTTCAGGAATCTATTCAGATCCATTGGTCTTCTAGTATATCATTGTACCAATATCACACTGTACTTTTTTTTCAAGAATGTCTTGACTATTCTTAAAAACTTTCTCTAATGAATTTTAAAAGTATCTTGTGAATTCTACATAGTACATAAACTCTGTTCACACCTAACTGGAATCTATTCCATTTATGGATCAATTTAAAAATTCCAATGTTGACATACTGGATGGACTTGCTTTTCAGATTTAATTTTTGTAGGATAACTCATTATCGTAATAAATCTAACTCAGTTTCTATTCTTAAAAATAAACAAAAATCAAACCTACACTAAATAATTTATTAACATTTTTCTATAGGATTTAATAAAAATTATGCACTTGAACATATTACTTATAGTGGTAATGATGCTTTAGATTCTTTCATGTTATCAACTTTGTTTCCTTCCGATCAAAGGCAAGTTATGAAATAATCAAGATGAACAAGGATTATTTCTGTACTCTGATAACATTTTCTATAATAGTACATGTTTATGAAATCAAAATTGGCTAATTTACATTATTTAACATTGGTCATTTATCACTGCCAAACTTTAATAACAGAGACAAATGACATTGATAATCATAAGTTTAAGCATAGAATATTTGAAAATGAAAGCTGTTTTACATGTTACCTTCCTCAAAATTCCACGAGTATTTACCAAACTTAGCTTTAGGTGAAACTCAAGACTTAATTAGGAACCATAATTAGCACAAGTAATCCATTCACTCATTCATTCATAAGCTCATTCATACAGTCAACAAATTTTAAGTTTTAGATTACACTGAATGTTATGAATGCTAGATATTAGACATGAAATAAAAATAAGAAACCTGTTTTCAAGAATGAGTAAAATAAAAATAAGAATAATAGTATTGTACTCACTTTGCCTTCATCTCTTGGGCTATCACTTAAATGTACAACAGGACCTGGATGAGTCTTGGTGGACCTGTTAAATCAATTCAAAACAGCAATCAAAAAATAAATACTAAAATACCTGACCATTACACACTGAAAAAAGAAAGTAGATTATGATGGAATAAACTGCCAATATTCTGGGGTTAAAATGAGATTAATTGAGTTTTGGGGTTTTTTCCCACAAAGTTCTATTCTTTATCCTATTAATGCTTTTGAAGTAGTTGTGATTTTTTTAAAAATCAGATTTAAGAACACTGATCCACATAAAAATGGGACTTTTATTATCTTTTATCTGATATATGTTTCTGAAAGTTTTAAATTATATATACAGCCACAAAGCTGAGTGAATAAATCTGTTTCAACCAACTACAAAGTACATACCTGATTTCCTTAGACATCAAATTTTTGATTTTGTCCGTAAAGAAAAGTATATTTTGATTTAAAAAGAAACTCACTCTAGTGATAATCATTTTACAAAAAATTTACAAACTGGGGAAACTAAATTATCAGTTATGTCTCATTTATCTGGTTATCTGTGCAATCAATAACATAATTATGACTCAACATCATACTATCAAAAGAAACTTGTCAATATGACTTTAATTCTCTTATACTCTAATATCTACTATGTTTCTTTAATAATATTTAGTTTAACTAATGTCATTGTTGAATATAATTATGTTATAAAGATGATATGATTTGATACAATCAGAGATTGTTTATTGCTCAATTTTCCATAGCCTTTTTTAATAATGTAATTGTGCGAGGTTAATCATATTATGATTAAATTGGCATAATTTTAAGCATCCATGAAAGATTCTTCACAAAACAATAAAGAATATTTAAGTCTTAGATAATATTTGGAATCAGAGAAAAGGGCCAAATTAATTAATTCTAACTCCCCTAATACTGACTCCTCAGAGTGATCCATAGGAATAAATACAGATTCATTAGACATTGATAATTTTTTTTAGTAGATTCATTCTAAATTTTCTTATCTATACATGGAGAGAAATAGCACCCTAGATAATTGTGAGGATTAAAATTATATTCATATGGGATAAGAGTGTGGCTCAGTGGAAAAGTACTTGTCTAACTGGCAAAACAGTAAATATTCAACAAATACTACATATTATGATTGTTGTGATAATTAGAAATCAGAGTTATGACTTGCATTCTAGAATATACGCTGGAAGAAAAACTAAATAGGGCTTCATAAAAGGTTTAGAGAGATTTTGGTAGTTCTTTCCACATTTCTATGTAACATACCAATTATACATAAAGTGAAATGTTCTATAACAGATATAAATGATTCTGATAAAGGTCAATGTCCTTAAGTTATCCTTTAAAATCTAATGATAGCCAATAAATCAAAATCCCCCATCTGACCCACAGGCTTGATTGCACCATATTTACCAAAGTACTCTATAATAACTACTAGAGTTACAAGATGTTTCACATAAAGAGTATTCCATATTTAAAAGTTCGGGAAACTGAATTAAAGCAATTTTTTTTCCTATGGAACCTCTTAGAGTGTGTACTATGCAAATGGGCATTGCAAATTGGCAATATTTTCCAAAATTATTGGTATATTAAATCCTGTTCCATTGGTTCTATTAAGGGAATCACTGAAATATACTTTGGGAAACAGTAAGATGCTTCCTTTCAGACCCTGAGACTGTATAACATGCTACTTTAGAAAATAATCTAGCATTAAACTTCTGTTATTTGTATTAAGTTAAAAGACATCGAAACTTAAGGGAAAAAAAACGTTTTCACAGTATTACCTAAACTATTTACATTTTGGCATACTATGTATGACTTTTTCTCTAACTATTAAACTGTCAAAACTCACAAAACACTACTATCAGAACTTATTTGGTCATGAGAAATCAACCTAAAAAGTATAAAAGCATTTGTGGACTCTAGATTCTGAAAATTCCACAAAATTTATTTTGGATAGAATTACCAATAAACTTAAATTCATGTAACAACACCTAATTAATGCCCAGTAATTCTTCCAGATATATCCTTACTTATCTTACTCCCATTCACTACAACAACTTCTTGATAGATATACTTTAGACTTTTCATCATTAAAATTCCTTGGTATTCTGTCCTAGGCTGTCATCTATTATCATAAAACCCATATCATGAATTTAAAAGCCCAGAGGAACAAGGCAGGTATTGCATATGAGCAGACTGAACTGTCCCAGGAAGAATGTTTTTAAAAATATGCAATAGTGGAACATTAGAACAAGTAAGAATAAAACAGCTCATAACTGATTACATTGAAAACATAAATGAAAGTTGGAAATTAATAGTAGTGTGTAACTATCACATTAATGTCAATCAGTAGCCACTGTGGAATGCATCAAAATTAAAATACGTATATATACACACACACATAAAGAAAAATAAAAGAACAATATGCAAAGATTGTATTCTAGAGCAGTACTTAATGTAATGTGGGAGGGACAACTATCATGAATAAATGACCCTTTAGATCAGAATAAAAGAAATGTTGTAACAAGAGTATAACTAGTAACAACTTCCCTATCAAGCAATGTACATGCATATTAAACATTAGAATTAGAAAATATTTATTGTAAAGGCCAAAGTCAAGCTTCATAACACCACAATGTTTTAATCAGAATTTTGGAGAATAATTTGGAACTTGTTATACATATGAGAGAAAATGAGCTAGCCTCAAGTCAAACATATCTTATTAAGGGCCTAATAATACATAGAGAACATAAACATTTATTAAATAAAAATTGCTTTCTGAATAACCTAGGATAATTGCTTTTCAATTTACTAAAATAGATGGCTTAAAATTCCACAAAGTTTCACATTTGGCACATTTCATGTTTTATATGTGCAGAAACTTAAATATTAGTGCTTAAAGCCTGAGCAGTTATTACTATCGACCACATACCAAAAAAAAAGCTGTGTGTATCACAAAAATGAGAGATTTTGATAAAATGCTGCTACCAGTATTAAAAAGTATTAAAAAGCATTATAAAAAGCATGTGCATTGAACATGAAAATTTTTACATAAAACAATTCACTCCTACCAAAAGTGGTTACACCAGAGTTGATCATAACACCAGATGCTTTCCATGTTTAACTTGTGGAATGACCCTATTTTATCATCAAACTGGATATGCGTGCGTGTGTGTGTGTGTGTGTGTTATATGGAAAGCTTCAAATTAACATATTAATACTACCAAATCTATTTTTTAAATCATTTAGGGTTTTATTTTGGCTGAAATTTTCATTCAAATTAATTATAAAATAGCAATAGATGTGTCAAATAACTCTCATCAATATAATTACATAACTATATAAAGTATTTAAGCCAAATAAAATTATATTCAAACTTACAATTCAATTGCCTTGTTCCACATGATAACATATCCAGAAAGAATGAAAGATTCAATATTTACAATATGTGTATTTCCTCTTTCTGTTCCAACATAGAGCCACTTACTCTGGAAAGGTAGATGACAGTAAGTAATTCTGAAAGAAAGAAAATTATAATTAAAATATCTAAATTTTATATCTGCTCAGCAATATCTTTTCCTTATAATTATTAGGTATTGATAGCTATGTATACCATAAGATTTACTATATGCTAAATTAGTATTTAGTTATTAGTAAGAAGATATGGAATAAATAACATTGGATATCATTAAAAACGATAATCACAAGTGTCTATATATATGAATTTACATTAGTTCTTTTTAAAACTTTTAACATAAAAGTATATATTAATAAGGTATCGTGTAATAGTCAATACATGTTTACACTGAATAATGTTTAAATTAGGGGAAACACCTATTCCCTCAAACATTAATCATTTCTTATGGAGAATAACATTAAAAAATCCTTTCTGCTAGCTTTGTGAAATGTAAACTACATTTATTGTTATCTGTAATCATCATTCTGTACATTAGCACCCCAGAGTTTCTTGCTTCCATGTAACTGAAACTAAGTATCCATTAGTCAGCCTCTTCATATTCCTCCCTGCCTTCTTTGTCCTAGCCTCTGGTAATCACCATTCTATTCTCAACTCCTATGAGAAAATAGCACTACAAAACAGATATATATTTCTGTTTTATGAAGAAGAAACTGAGGCAGTTTTTTTTTTAATTTTACTTGCCTATGACCAAAATTACCTCTTTCTACCAGGCCATATTGTTCATTATTTAGATAAGATTAACTTCAAATAGAAATTATGTACATATAAAACATAAATTTCAGAGTTCACACTATAAATTATTTACAGTTTCCAAATATGTAGCACTTTCTAGTAATAAGAAAACTTGAAAGGTCAGAGATCCACTGAATTCTTCCATAACTTTTATTGTTCTCTTGTTTCCCCAAAGGGCTTTCTGACCAGCTTTGGGATCTGCTCCATAGCCAGAGAAACCATGACTCTTACATAGTAAATGCAGGAGTTTACCAGAGTCTTCAATTCACAACATAAAATCAGACTCTCTAGGTTTGGCCTAATTGTACTCTGTAGTACTATGTCTTAAAAATTGAGAATGAGAATAAATTCACAGTTATTTCTTACTAAAACATCTTGTTGATTAAAAGGTCCTAAAATTTACTTAGAAGAGGAGCCAGTAAATTGGCATAAGAGCTGAACAAAATTCTGACACTAGACAGATCAATTTTTTTAAAAAAGAATGTGAATGATCAATTTATAACATGATTCCATCTTGTAACCATTTGGAATCTCCAATTTATATTCTCTGTTTTGTTCCCTGAATTTTTAAACAACTTCCCTCTTGTAACTAAACTCCACCTATTCAAGTATCCTACTGATAACATCCTACATCTAAAATGCTAAAAGTCCTGCTATCACATAAGCAATTAGAGTTAACTGACAATATCATTAATGTGTAAACTATAAGACACTGGGCAATTTTGATTAAAACTTAACGTCTAGAACTACTGTCCACAAAGGGATATCTAATAACAATGCATAGGAAATAATATGATGGTCATGTTTCTAGGCAATGAAGAGTCAATTTTCAATTCAATCTTCAGTAGGAAGAGGAGGAAATTCATTTCAAAGAGGATTTAAGATCCTCTTTTGAATCACAGGAAGAGTATAGAAAATCCACAAATGAAGACCTAAATACAGAGTTTCAAATAAAAACAAAGGAAGATTCAATATTACATGTATATTTCAGGGATTAACAAGAAAAGTCTAAGAACTCTAGTTTCAGAAATGAGAATTGAATCAAGAGGTAGAATTCCAGTGTAAACAGACTTTGTAGTACAATAACAATGAAATACATGAAGAAGATCGTAACAAGAATAGAAATAATCCTTGAATGAACAAACTACATTGTTTTCTGGTCTAAGGAGAAACTAGAGCCTTAGTGACAACGTCCAATGTAAATGTAGTGATTAACTTGACTATTTAACAAAGATTTCTAGGCTACCAGAACTAATTAGAAAAGAGTAGTGTGATGTACTTAGGATGACTGACATAGGTAAGGGAGAGGACATGGTTATACTTATGCTGTATATTTGATAATCCTAATAATTGATATATTTATATAATTTAATTAATTATATTTAATAGTTATACCTTAATATGTAACTTATTTCTACTACTAACCACTTGCTGAGTGAAGAATTTTTTGTAGTTGCTACATGTGAACCTTGAAAATTATTCATGTTTCTATGTCTGTATTTTCTCATTTTAGAATAAAAGGACATTCTTAATCTTCCATACATTCATCTATTCAACTTTCACTGAATAACTCTTAATATAAAGCATTGTTCTATATTATGACACACATATTTCTTTTCCCTCAAAAAATCATACTACCTAATGAGAAATAAAATAAGTAGACAAATAAGAAAAATAAGAGTAAAGTGTGTTGATTTTTATAGAGAGTTCAAAGGGAAAATTTATTACAGCAAGGAAAATCGAGGAAACCTACTGTAGCTCCATTTGAATCGGACCATTAGAGACCAAAGCACAATATATATATATATATATATATATATATATATATATATATATATATAAAACCTTGCACAATATATATATTTGCTTTGGTCTCTAATTATCTGATATGTGTGTGTTTGTATATATATATATATATATATATGTGTGTGTGTGTGTGTGTGTGTGTGTGTGTATAAAGCTAAAATAATGTACAGACCTTTGAAAACTTTTTTCTGATCTTCAATTTGACTTACGTTTAGAAATTCTATAATTTATGTAAGAAAATAAGATCTAAATATTTCATACTTCTTTATGCCCATAAAAATACAAAAATAAGACAGAAAACTCAACTAAAATTTAAATTAATAACATTAATATGACAGTTGAGTTTTTTTATAACCGCACAATAAGGAGCAGTTCCATTATAGAAGTATAAGAAAGTCATCGATTTTTGCATGTTGATCATGTATCCTGCTACTTTGCTAAATTTTGTTTTATTGACTCTAGAAATCTTTGGGTGGAGTATTTTGGGCCTTCTGAATACAGAGTCATGTTGTCAGCAAATAGAAATAATTTGAGTTCTTCTCTTCCTATTTATCTCCCTTTGATTTCCTTCTCTTGCCTGATTGCTGTAGTTAAGAGTTCAAGGACTACAGTGAGTAGGAAGGGTGAGAGGAAACATCCTTGTCCCTGATTTTAGAAGAAATGTTTTCAGTTTTTTCTCTCTTCAGGATGATGTTGGCCTTGGGTTTTTCAGATATAGCCTTTGCAATGTTGAGGAAAGTTCATTATATCCTAAGTTTTTCTAGTGTTTTAAACATGATGAGTGCTGGATTTGTCAAATGCTTTTTCTGCATTTATTAATCATGTGATTCTTGTCTTAACTCTTATGTAATAAACTGCAAATGATTTCCTTATGATGAATCAACCTTGCATTCCTGGGATGAAACTCACTTGGATCAAAATTTACTACCTTCCAGTATGTTTTTGAATGTGCTTGTCCAATATTTTATTCAGAATTTTTTCATCTATATTCATCAGGGATATTGTTCTGAAGTTTTCTTTCCTTAATTTGTATTTCTCTGATTTTGGTATCAGGGTAATACTGGCTTCATAGGATGAATGCATTGTTTTCCATTTCACTGAATAATTGCAGGAGGAATGGTTCTTCTTTAAAGGTCTGGTAGAACTCAGCTCAGAATTGGCCCAGTCCTGAGCTTTTCTTTGTTGGAAGGCTACTGGTACTTGCTTCAATTTCATTACCTGATGTTGATCTGATAGTTTTCAACATCCTCATGGTTCAATTTGGGTAGATTATATGTCTAGGAATTTGTCAATCACTTCAAGATTTTCTAGCATATTAAAGTATCAATTTTCAAAATAGTTACTGATGATCATCTGGATTTCAGTAGTGTCTATGGTGATAGTTCCCTTTTCATTTATAATTGTATTAATTTGAGTCTTCTCTTTCTTTTGGTTAAGGATTAGTTTGGTTAAGGGTTATTAATCTTATTTATCCTTTCCAAAAACCAACGCTATTTCACTGACCTTTTGTATTGTTTTTTATTCTCAATTTCAATGACTTTGGTTCTAATATCAATTATTCAATTATTTCCTGTCTTCTACTTTCTAGGCCTCTGAGGTATAATGTTAGATTATTTATTTGGTATCTTTTTTTAATGTATGAACTCAGCACTATAAACTTTCCTCCTAGAACTGCCTTCATACAGTCCCAGAGATTTTGATATGTTGTATTACTATTCTCTTTAATTTTAAGAATTATTTTAATTTTTAAAATTATTTCCTGATTTCTCTGCTACCCATTCATCATTCAAAAGTATATTATTTGATCTCTAGGTGTTAGAATGGTTTCTGGGTTTTATCTTGTTATTGTTTTCTAATTTTATCCCATTATGGTGTGATAGTATTTAAGGGTAAGGAATTCTCTTTCTCTTTTTTTTCATATTTGCTAAGATTTACTTTGTTATCTAAAATATATTACATGTGTTGCTGAAAATAAAGTGAAATTCAGTTATTCAAGGATGAAATATTCTATAGATGTTTGTTAGATACATTTTATTAATAATATTTTTTTAGTTCTGAAGAATATTTAGTTTATTTCTGCATCATCTATCAAGTAGTGAGAGAGGTGTGCTAAAGTCACCCAATATTATTGTATTGTGGTCTATTTAATATTGAGAAGGATTTGTTTTATGTAGTAGATGCACCATTGTTTGGGCCATAAATATTTACAGTCATTATACCTTATTGTTAAATGATACCCTTAACCAGTATGAAGTATCATTCTTTGTCTCTTCTGATTAATTTTTGCTTGAAGTCCACTTCCTCTGATATGAGAAAATAGCTACTGCTGCTTGTTCACAGGTATCATTTGGTTGGTATGTCTTTTCCCATCCTTTTACCTTCAGTCTGTGGATGTCATTGTCTTTGAGTCTTGCAAACAACACATTGTTGGCTTTTGATTTTTTAATCCAATCTGCTGATCCAAGCCTTTTGATTGAAGAGTTTAGATGGTTTACATTTAATGTTATAGAGAAATAATTTTTATTTCTTGCCATTTTAACTTATTTCTATTTTCTACTTCAGACTTGCTTCTCAAGTAATTGACTATTCTTTACTATAATTCATTCCTATGCTGGTTTTCATTTTTATTTTCATTTCTTCTTCACACAATATTTCATTGAGATGTGGTGTATATTTTGTGGTTGTGAATTCTTTTAGTTAGTTTCTTTTTTATCATGGAAGGTTTTCAATTCTGAAGGATAATTTTGCTGGGTATATTACTCTTGGTTGACATCCATTTTCCTTCAGTGATTCATATGTATTATTCCAAGGCTTTTAGAGTCTGGGTTAAGAAAGCAGTTGAAATTTGAGTTGATCAACCTCTAAATGTGACTGTCCACTTTTCTCTTGAAGGTTTTAAAATTCCATCCTTATTCTGTATATTAGACATTTTCATTTTAATGTGACTTGGAGTAGTTCTATTTTGGTTCTGTCATATTTGGAGTTCTTATATTTGAATTTCCATCTCATTCCAAAAATTTGGAAAGTTTACTAATATTATTTCATTGAAAAGATTATGTATTACTATATTTTGTATTTCAGAGTCTTCATCTATCCCAATGATTCTTAAATTTGGTCTCATGATGTTATCCCAAATTTCTTGAAAATCCTGGTCATGGGCTTTTAATATCTTTTCTTTATGGTCAATATTATTTTCAAGATTATATATTTTATTCTCAAGGCCTATACATGCCTATAATCCCAGCAACTCAGGAAGCTCAGGCAGGAGGATTGCAATTTCAGGGCTAACCTCAGAAACTTAACAAGGCTAATCAACTTAGCAAGACCCTCTCTCAAAGGGTTGGGATGTCACTCAGTGGTTAAGTATCCCTGAGTTCAATCACTGGTACAAAAAGCGGGTGGGTAACATAAAATGAACCAGAATATTCCCTTCAACATTTGAATTGTGAGGGGGAGAAAACCCACTCTGTCAATCCACAAAAATGTTTAGGGTCATATCTACTTAAAGCATTGAATCAAAGAGGGGGAAAACTCTTATCAGCACATAGAGATAAAATATGGGAATGTAAATAGTTAATATTTTTCACTATTAAAGAAAAAGCCATATACTAATTCTGAACTTGTCTTAAGTTTTTCAATATCCTGAAATTTCTACCATTTAACTTTTTTTAAATAAAAAAATAACAAATTTTTGGTCTCATCTTAAGAAAGAAATACTATGTGGTTTTAGCAAATATCTAAAATATATATTCCCCTTCCCATAAAAAATACTGGATATTAAAAAAACTTCCCATTGATGTAGAATCCTAGAATATTGAAATATAAAACTCATCAATAGTACCCAGAAAAATGAGGGTTAATGACTTAGACAGTATATTACACACATAAAAGAAATAAATTAGAAGTACAATGAAGAATGCATATATAATTTCCATGATTTTTTCTCATTGTATCTATAAACAACAAGTTAGGGTTAGAGTATAGGATCTAATTACCATGATCAAAAGGTATAGAAATACATTTATTATTCATTTGCCCTTTAAATGTTAGTCTGTGTTTTCAGTACCATGGTGCAAAGAAAAGAACATGTCATTGCTGGTTTACAACTAAGAGAACAAAATACTTAGGTAGTTTCCATTACTAGGTGATTGAATCTATATCAATTATATATATTCTAATAAAAGAAAATATAAAAAGAGCAAGCATACACATTGTTTCTACCTATTCATATTAATAAAGAAAAAGCCAGTCAAGTTAATGTGAAACTTGCTCAATAAATAATTTTTGTACACTGAGTTCTTTAATTGATATATTCTTACCGTTCTCGGTTAAATTTAAGAGAATGAAGAATAGCTGGTCTTTTTTGTCTAAGGTTCCACAAATGAAGTGTATCATCTGAACTTGCACTGACCAAAGCACCCTGTAACAAAAAGAAGACAAAGTAAGTGTGGGATTTACTTAATTTAAGGAAGTATAAACAGTAAGAAAATTTACTTAATTTTCACTGCTTGAGGAGATATTTGTGTCTTTAAAACCTAAAAATATATGGAAAGACAACTGCATATACTTCAATCAGGAAGGTTACAACTGCTGAGGACAGAAGTGATTTATTGCATATGGATGGTCAAGATGACTAGATCAAGTAATATTTACTAATAGAAATAATCAATATAGCATCACTGAAACTAATGAAGGCTTTTTTGTATTTTCTTTAGAAAAAAGTTTAGATTTTTTGTTTCTACCATTTACATATACATTATATATATAAAGAAGCAGATATCCAACATAGTTTTGTAAATCAAATATATAGTTTATATAAAAATTCTCTTCTGTAAGAATTTTCTTTATGGTTTAAAAAGTTTATATTTTTACTAAAAAGTATATTTGGTATAATTTAATCTGCTTCTTACACTATAAGAAGCTTTACCTAGTATAAACAAAAAGTATATATAATAAAAAAATTTGTCCAACAGAATTCAGTATATTTATAAAAATAATTCCAAGATTCTTTTTATCTAGCACCAGCAAATACAGATTAATCCTGTTTGAACTACAATAGAATATTTTCTACTTTATAAGGCAGAAAGGATATGGATGGATACTGGCTGCCATATTTGTGGTGTGTGTGTATATGTGTGTGTGTGTGTGTGTGTATATATATATATATATATATATATATATGAATATATATAAATTATATATATAAAGTTATACATATATAATTTAACTATTTCACTGAGTTAAGTAACATCATCTTAAAATATATCAGAACTTTTACTAAAATGATAGTTTCACAACTGAAAATGTCTAGGTGTGCCCTATGGTTGAACCTAAAACTACTCTAGATCTACGTTCTCTAAAATTTATCTGGCAGAACTATGGTAGTTCTAAGATACCTAAAATGCTTCACATATTTTCCCAAGTATTTTATTACAAGTAATCTTTCAAGAGTTTCCAATATCAATCATCAGTATTAAAAATTTGTTTCATTTATATGCTAGGAAAAACTATATTGAAATTCCTAGCATTGATTATTTCTTTTGGAGTTAGAAAAAAGATCATAGGAATCTAAATGTCCCTTTGAAACAGTTCTTAAGCCTAAAGCATGCCTGTACCCTATGATGTTTCCCTCTATATTATGTACCTGTGATTTTAGTCTTTGAGAGGAATAGCTTTATTTTTAAAAAGCAATTATTGAGCATATTGGTACATTTTAAAATTTTATATAAGTTTCATATGTATACATAAATATATAAAAACACATGTACCGAGGGAAATATGTTGATATACACACTTTAGCATGAACTCATAATTTTATACCATGCAATATGATATATCCTATACATACCTTGAGAATTTCTTTGTTTACATGCTTTATTTGTAAACTCTTTATGCACTTCCTATGCACAAACTAGAAAGTTATTGGGTTTGCTTGAAAGTGCTTGATAACCAATAACTGATTTAAAAAAAAAAAAAACAGACATTTATCTCATTTCTCATAGAGGTGGAAGTTCACTTAGGACAGGGTAAGAAATAAACATGTTATACAAAATTAATAAAATGTGTCTTATATTAAATTGTTATGTGCAAACAAAAGATATAACACATCAAGGGTAATGAATTAAAACACAGCATCATGTATTCATTAATATCTGAGTGTAATATCTGATTGAATCTATGAAGAATCTGAGTATTATTAGTAATGATAAAACTGGGATGTAATATCATTGAACCACTGAGCATAACAGTACTAACAGAAGACCAGACACATGAAAGTATGCATATCAGCAAGTATATAAGGCTCATTTACAAAAGCATGAATCTTTATTAGCAAAAGCATTATTTATTTATAAAAATCTGTGACTATTTAAAACTGCAAATAGCCATGAGATCAAAACCTGGGAAGTATGAGAACATAATTGAGTGTGAGGTAAATCAGGGTGAATAGTTTATGAAAAACACTGTAAACAATGCAGGGAATATAAAAACTTGTCTCTATTTTCTCCTAGTTATGTAGTATAGAGGCAAACTTAGATCCTTCAAGTCAATCTTCAGAGTATCAAACCTAGAACAAATCACATGGAAACAAACTATGCCTACTAGTATATTTCTGTGCAGAACGCAAAGCACCAAGATTCCATAACTAGGAACTACAGAGTAGCACTGAGAACCCAAAATGGTTGACATTCTGAATAATAATGATTAGTTACCATAATAAAATATTTTTAAATGTTTCCGCTTTTCCTCCTTACCTCCCTCTCTTTTTTTGGTACCCCATGGCAAGTGTGTCTACAAAGTTTAATATGCTAACTTTGTTGATAAGGAGTATCTCATAGTCTCCGAGAAAGATTTTAGGCCAAGAGAAATAAAAAATAGACATGTTTCAATACAATTTTTTTCTTGCCTCAAGTATTTTTATACAAAATTCTATAAGACATTTTACCTATGTGTATCATTATAAATTGTTAGTATGACACATGCAAATATATGCAGAAACTGAATAAAAGGGCATCATCATGCTATGAGAAAACAACCAACTTTTCACAAGGCACTGAGTTTAATCTCTGAAGTGCTTGAATTTGGTATGGCACAAACTTTTAAAGTATTTTTGCACTGGCCAGCTCACTTAACATAAAGTAGCTATTTAAACTTTAGGATTTGCTGTAAAAGATCTGAGTCAAGCAGACCATAAGTAACCTTCAACATATGGAAGATATGTAATTTTTCTGAGTTGATAAATACAATTTTTTTTCTAGAAAGTGTCTCATCATTGTAGCTCTAGAAAAATAGGGATAGGTACATTACCATAACAGATATGCATACATAAATAAATAAAAATGAAGTCAAATCAACAAATTCATATGGAAATAAAAGATAATATATATATTCAGATCATGCATATGATCTGAATATATATATACAGATATATGCATACACAAAAATAAGGGCCCACAGGTAAATAAACAAGCTTAAAATTTATTTAATTGAAAATAGAGGCAAAATATGAGTTTACAGCTGGATTACAAAATTGAAATCCATAAAACGTCAGTTTAATGGCCAGTGAAATGATTGAAGAACTTTAGATTTTTTTAAAACACCAGTTAAGTAATTAATACAAATTATGTACAATACAAAATCACAATAAAAGGATCTTTTGGTACATAAATATTTGTCCTTTTTTATATTTTACTTATTCTTCTTAGTTATACATAATAGTAGAATCCTTTAAATTTTAATAAATTGGCAACTATACGAGTATGCCCTTTTATGAAAAATGTAACTATAAATAATACTGCATACATATATATTACTTAGATACATAATATTTAAAATACTATGTCTTATAGATTGAGCATCCCAATCCAAAAAATCCAAAACCTCATATGTAAATAAAATCCGAATTTTTTTTGAGTGTCAACATGATGCTACAAGTAGAAAATTCCACATTTGATCTCATGTGACAGACTGTAGTCAAAACAAACATATTGAAAATATTGTGTAAAATTACCTTCAGATTATGTATATAAGGAGTACACAAAATATTTTAAAGTGTCAGGCTTATATTTAGGTCCCATCCCTAAGATGTCTCATTATGTATATATGCAAAATATACAAAATTTTTTAAAATATCTGAAATTAAAATACTTCTAGTCCAAAGCATTTCAGATAAGGGAAACTCAATTTGTAATACTGTGGGTGTGGGTGTGTTTTAAATAGTAAAAAATCTATATGTGTGTGTCCAATTATGTGTGTATACATTTAAATAGTTAAAAAAATCCTTACCTCATTGATCAAGAATTGTAGCTGCAAGACAGCTGCACCACTTTCATGTTGGCAATAACAATCAACACCAGGTCTCCCAAGTCTAACATAATAAAAGTTAAGGACTCTAACATTTTAATTAAAATGATTATTAAAGTGTAAAATAAACCAACTTATTTAGTAACTAGTGCTTTGCTTTTGAGTTACCCTTATTTTTTACATAAAGAGTTGAAAAGTTTTATTTCAGTTCATGCAAATTAAATTATATATGACAGATTTTAAAAAGCTGGGATAAAAGAATGATAGTAAAATTTTAAAAGGAGCATTTTCTTTCCCGAAAAGTAAAAACAAGGATTGAGAATTCAAACACATTTAAGATTTTACTGATTAAATACTTCTTTTCCTAATATGAGTAAATTATTTTAATGTAATAAATGAAATTATACTGTTAATAAAAAATAAATATGTAAGTAAATATATTAATAATATTGGTATATATAGAACCTTGGTAAGCATAATTTAAATCCATAGTTCATAATAAACAGATTGATATATTTGACTACATAAAAATATAAAATTTTGCATGGAAAAAGTACCATAAATAAGATTAAAAAAACAATGAAATGTTGGAAATAGTAACATATTTTAAGAATCATTATTTGATTATGTAAGTCAGAAAGAAAGGAGAGAAGATGGAGGTAAGGAAAGAGAATAAGAAAACCTAATGGTACAAAATTTACTTACATATTCTATACCAAATGATAAATGTCTCTATGTTTATGTATCATTTGTTTCTTTTCATAAAGATGTAAATTACATGAGACCTTCTACCCCAGCTATAATGAGAAAACAGGCCAAATCCATCCTCCCACATAAACAATTAAAAGGCATAGACAAAATTCATATAACTATATTTTAGACATTACTTATCATGTAAGGATGATGGTGATCCCTGAAAGAGACAGAAAATGTATTATGAGCCTTATGATTTCCTTGCTTACCTATAGAGTTTCCAGGCCAAGCACTGGGATGGGGAAGCCAGATGGAATCCGGCAGGTTCACTTCATTGAGAGAGAACTAATTCTAGGTTGACCAAGGATAACTGGGGCTCACAGAGCAGCAAAGAAGAAAAACTGACATATAAAGGACCTTCAGGAAGATCTTCCTTGAATATTTAGCAAAGTACTGATCAGGGAATAGGTTTGAGCAAACCACCTTAGATTGGGGAAAGAAAAAAACCAAGAGGAAATAATGTCTTTCTTGAAGACCAAATCAAGACAAAAACTAACAAGTGCTTCTTGAAGAACAAATCAAACAGGGAAGGAATATAGTAAATTAATGGCATCCACCATATAGTAGCTATTTCCTGAAACCGAATCAAAACCAAAGTGCTGAGACTGAATGAGGAGAATGGAAGATATAGGAAAGAAATGGAATGCAACTCAGAAAGTCAGCAATCAGGTGAAATCTAGAAATATCAGTTTTCATAATAGTGAAAATAATAAAAAAAAAGACTGCCAGCACTGGGCATATTATGGCTTTGTTGGGGGGTGAAAAGGGGGGAGCTCCCCTCCCCAGAAAGTTTAAGAAAAACAAGCTCTACTGTCCAGCAAAACCAAAATCTGAGCAGAAAAGAGTCTCAGATACTGTGAGATGAGCCAGTGCAGAAGAGTCCCAGGACTTCCCAATAGATTTAGTAAAAGTGGGAAAGTAGTCCAGCTTAAAAAGTGCCTCATTGTTTAAACATTCTGCACAAGAAATCAGAAATCCCTGTAGTTTTCTAATGTTACATTTTATTTTATTTTTGTTTCTTTTTTCATTTATATTTTTTTCTTTTCTTTTCTCTTGGTTTTTTTTTCTTTTTGTGTGTCCAACAGCCAAAAGTCACCTATGCTTTACTTCTCACTCTTGCTTCTCTCCGTTGATGCCCAAGCCTTGAGTCAAGAGACTGTGGCATGGATCCACAGGAAGTTCTTTCTGGATGACAACAGGAGACAAGTCTACTTGGTCTGTGGATCCATAGCACAGAGAAAGGCAGGAGGATTCTTGCTTCTGAATTTGGCAGTAGAAACTTTGTGATAATGAGAAAGTCCCATGGGAAATAGAAGTATGATGGGTCCAGTTTGGGTAAAAAGCAGCACAGTTCAGTACAAGTAATCCTGGCCAATTCCTCCATGCCTAAAAGTGCCTGGTGGATATAATGATACAATCTAGGTGCTTCCCACATGCACACACCCCAATACATTGCCTAAGGCTCTTCGAATAAGAGGTGTGGCATAATCTGGATTGTCCACAGGCTGCCTGGGTGAGGAATCCATCACAACAGACACACAAAAAAATATAGATGCTCAAAAACATGAGGAAACAAGCCAATAAGATGCCCTGGAAAGTTTTTAACCTCCCAATAACTGAATTCAAAGACATAGAAGTGGGTGAAATGCTGGATTAAGAATTCAAAAAGTTGACTATGAAAATGATCAAAGAATAAAGAGAACAAGTAAGGAATGAATCAAGAAAGAAAACAGAAGATATGAAACAGAGATGCTGAAAAAGAATCAAACAGAAATCTTGGAAATGAAAAGCAAAATAAGTCAAATAAAAAACTCAATAGATGGGGCTGGGATTGTGGCTCAGTGATAGAGTGCTCACCTTGCACTCATGAGGCACTAGGTTCAATCCTCAGCACCACATAAAAATAAAATAAAGATATTATATCCACCTAAAGCTAAAAAATAAATATTTTTGAAAAACTCAACAGTTGAGCATACAACCAGTGAAACTCTACATCATGTACAACTGCAAAAATGGGATCCTTATTAGAATAAGTAATACTCCATGTGTGTATAATATGTTGAAATATACAGTCTAAAAAGAATAAAAGATTATTTTTTTAAAAAGATTTTAAAACTCAATAGAAAGAAAAAAGATCATAGCTAAAATTAATGAAATGGAGATTACAAGAATAATATAAAGAATCAATGAACTGAAAAATTTTCTCTTTGAAAAAATAAATAATATTGATAAACCCTTGGCTAAATTAACCAAAGAGAAAGAAGACCCAAATTAACTGAAATCCAGAGAAATATTAGAGATTAGTTTTCAAACTTATGGTTCAATAAACTGAAAAATCTAGAGGAAATGGATAAATTTCTAGAGACACAGGATCTACCAAAATTGAACTAAGAGGAAATAGAAAATCTAAACAGACCAAGGAGATTGAAGTAGTAATAAAAACCCACAAAACAAAAAGCCCAGGGCTAAATGTATTCATAGCTGAATTCTACCTGATATTTAAAGAACTACTATCAATGTTTCTCATATAATTCCATAGAACAAAAACGGAAGAAACACTTCCAAACTCACTCTACACAATCAGTATCACCCTGTTACCAAAACCAGGATCAACCTGATACCAAAAGTAGGATCACCCTGATACCAAAACCAGGTAAGGACCTTCAAAGAAAATTACAAGAAAATACAGACAAGGACACTTCAAAGAAAGAAAACTACAGGCAAATATTCTTGATGAAAATAGATTTAAAAATCTTTAATAAAATATCAGCAAGTATATTCAACAACACATAAAAAGATCATACATCATGATTAAGTTGGTTTCATTCCAGGGATGCAAGGATGGTTCAACATACACAACATACCTCATAAACACAATTTAGGGGGAAAAAAATCATAGGATCATCCAAATAGATGCAGAAAAAGCTTTTGACAAAATTCAATACCTCTTCATGATAAAAACCATAAAGAAACTAATGTTTCATAATTGGGCTATATATAACAAATTCAAAGCCAACATTACACTGAATGGGGAAAAAGTTAACACATTCCCTCTAAAATTAGGAATAAAACAAGAATATCTACTCCAAAAACTCCTATTCAACATCGTACTTGAAATTTTAGAGCAATTAGAAAGAGAAGGAAATAAAAGGGATAAAAACAGGAAAGGAAAAAGTAAAAGTATCCCTGTGTACAGATGATATGATCCTATACTTAGAAGAACCTAAAAATTCCACCAGAAGACTTCTAGAGCTGATGAACAAATTCAGCATGAACAAAATCAACATACAAAATCAATAGTTTTCTATAATTTAATAATAAACCTGCTAAAGAAGAAATCAGGAAAACAATGCCATTCACAATGGCTTGAAAAAGTATGTTTAAGAACAAATCTAGGAATATGGTAGAATACAGAAATCACTTCCCTGGGTGCTCCATGGTGTAAAACTAAGAAAAGCAGACAGGCAGCTTCTCAGCAAAGTGGATGAACAAGCAAAAATTAGGGGGTACTTTACTGGAATTTAATATGGACCCTCAAAACAGATTGGGTTCTCAGGAGATTAAATATAATAAAATAAGGAAGAAATTCCCAGCACTACAACCATGGCAGAGGCCAGAGGTACAAGCCAGAACAGTCTGTCCGTGAATGGAGTAAAGCAACAAGAAAATTAAAGGAGCCCATGTTTTGACTGCAAATTGGTGTAGCCAATATGGAAAGCAGCATAAAGATTCCTTGGGAAACTGGGAATGGAACCACCATTTGACCCAGCTACCCCTTCTCCTCAGTCTATACCCAAAGGCCTTAAAAACAGCATACTACAGGGACACAGCCACATCAATGTTTATAGCATCAAAATTCACAATAGCTAAATTGTGGAACCAACCTAGATGCCCTTCAATAGATGAATGGATTTAAAAAAATGTGGCATATATACACAATGGAACATTACTCAGCAATAAAAGAGAATAAAATCATGGCATTTGCAGGTAAATGGATGGAGTTGGAGAAGATAATGCTAAGTGAAGTTAGCCAATCCCCAAAAAACAAATGGCGAATGTTTTCTCTGATGTAAGATGACTGACTCATAGTGGGGTAGGGAGCGGGGGCATGGAAGAAATAGACAAACTCTAGATAGGACAGGGGTGGGAGGGGAGGCGGGGGTGCAGGGGATTAGCAAGGATGGTGAAATGTAATAGACATTATCCAAAGTACATCTATGAAGACATGAATTGGTGTGAACATACTTTATATACAACCAGTGATATGAAAAAATTGTGCTCTATATGTGTAATATGAATTGTAATGCATTC